GGGAAGCAGCAAAGGAAGGGACGACATGACCTCCCGCCCGGCCCCGCTGCCTCGAGCGACTCCCTGGCGCTCCCTGCCGTGCCCGCGCGCCGAACTCCGGCTCGAGCTGGTGCTCTGCGGTGGGCAGACCTTCCGGTTAGTGCGCCCCCTCGCGGCTCCTCGTCGGGAACTGCAACCTGCGCGGGAAAGGCTGGCCCTCGATTGAATGGCCTCTCCCGTATTGCCTTTAGCTTATGATGGCCGATCCGTCTCCTATTTTTTTTTGCAACCTCCTTAGGCGGTGCAGCTCTTCTGGGCATGGAGATGGAGCGATGCTGTGGCACTGCTGCGTTTCTAAAGAGACAAAAAAAAAAAAGCCTTGCAAAGGGCGTAGGGAGGGATCCTGGAGGAGTAAAATTGTTGTTATCGTTGTTGTTGTGCCATCAAGTCGCTTCCGACATGTAATAACCCTAGGGGAAGGAGCAATCTTCAAAATGCCCTGGCCTCAACAGCCCTCCTCAGCTCTTGAAACACGCAAGCCTGTGGTTTCTGTAGAGAGTCAATCCATCTCACTGTTAGTCTTCCTCTTTTCCTGCTGCCTTCCACCTTTCACAGCATTGTTGTGTTGTCCAGAGAATCCTGTCTTCCCATGATGTGCCCGAAGTAGGATAGCTTCAGTTTCAACATTTTTTTGTTTTTGCCTCCAGAGATAAGTTCAGGCTAGATTTGATTTAGGACCCACTTGTTCGTAAATGAGTCCCTGCCGTCTGACTGATAACTCCTTGTGCTTTGATCCCCATGGGTCCTCACACAGCCCACCCACCACTGTAGCCCAAGAGCTGTTACACTTTGGTCATGCTTGTTCCAGACATGTAAGAAAAGTTGATATTATTTTCTGTATCTGTAGGTATAGGGGAATTTGCTTTGATCTTGGAGAGCATTAGCTATGTTTGTTAAGGAGCTGTAACATCACCAGGCCAAAGGTCTCTCTTGTGGAAAACAGCTGTGTATATTCATCTAGTATATCACATTTCCTTTGACAATCAAGCAGCTAACCGCATTAAAATTTGGAATTTAAAACAAGATTTTGATGAAATCTGAATATTAAAAACTGCCAGTTTTAAAAAAATTGAGCTTCCACCAGGCAGTTGAATCTTCTTTTAACATTAGAGCAGCTCAGGGGCTGAAAACTCTCGCGGCTTGCAAAGGACAAACAAGAGGGAGCAAACTGACCTCGTTTGCTGGGGAGTTTCAGAGTCTGGAACTGGATGCTACAGGAAGACATTGAGAGTGTCTCGAAGTCTGTATGAGTAACCAACAGCATTAATCTTCTGCCTGATTCCTTGATTTTCATGAAACTGAATATGAATACCTTGATGAATTTCTTTAATTCTATCTTGTGACAAAAAGGATGAGATAACCCAAAATACCATTTGTCCATTAGGAGACAGTTCAAGCCCTTGTCAGCATTCCTGGTTCGGTGTGCAGAAGGGTGTACGCATAGGGTTGCCAGATGTCAGGCAAAAGGAGGACATGTCCTCCTTTTTAGCCTAATGTCCTCCGTCAGGCAGGCAAAGATAAAAATCTTTAAAATGTCAGGCTTTTGTATATTTATGTTATAATTCTGGATGGGAGGGGGAGAGGTGGAAGGCCCCCCTTCCCCCTGGCTTTCCCCACCCCCACCTGCCCGCCCACTCCCGGTATTTTGAAAAAAAGCCTCCATTGAATTTATTTTTATTTTTTAACATGACTGTTTCTTGGTCGGTTCACTAAGAGACATTTATTGGCAGATATTGTAATAAAATTGTATTGACTGTGGGTTTAATCTGGAATGATTGAAATCAAATATTCAATATGTCCTCCTTTGTCCTCCTTTTTGTCTTTCTATGTCCTCCTTTTGGTACCTGTGTATCTGGCAACCCTATGTACGCAGGAGATCAGAGCACAGTGTAGCTGTAATAGAAGTGCCCAACCATCCCCTAGGTCTTAAGTGCCACTCTTCCCAAGTGTGCAGCCCACCCACCCCTCGGTGGTGATTATCCACATACAGCAGTTGCCTGTCAACTTTACAGAGATGTGCTTTTGTCAGAAGAAAGAGATCTGTGGGACAGAGGTCATCAACCCCTGGTCCATGGCCCTGTGCCGGTCCATGGACTTGCCAGAACTGGGTCACGGATACGGATCTCCGCCCCCTTACATACACGCACGGTGGGCATGTCACGTTCGCAGGGGGGGTGTTGTGCTTGCAGTGGGTGTGTTGTGCTTGCAGTGGGCATGTCACACTTGGGGTGCTGTGCTTGGGGGCGTGTATCACTCACAGTGGCCGTGTCACACTCACGTGGATGCGTGTGGGTGTGACACGCCCACCACATGGGTGTGACATGCCCACCGCACAAGCCTCCCCGCGCATAGAGCCCGCTCCCCCCAACCAGTTTGTGGCCCCAAAAAGGTTGGGGACCACTGCTGTAGGAGGATCTCTGGGTCAGGTGGTGGGAAAAAAGGCTCTCCATCCCACTCAGTGAAGAAAGAGGAGCGCTCCTGTGTATGCCCTGCTCTTGATCCCAATCCAGCCTCAGACTCATTCCGTAAGGCCTGAAAAGTTGTACATCCCTGCATTAACTGTATATGCCCTTTCATCAGTGTACCTATGCTTTCTTTACATGGAGGTGTGTGTGTGTGAGAAGAAGAGGTCTATGAAGCAGTTGCTTTTTCATTGTTTCTTTGATGATGTAACCGTATAGGTTGGCTTCTCTCAGACTTTTCATACCTAGGTCCCTGTATCCAGATGCAGATACTTGGATTTAGTCTTTGATTTCTTGATGGGTCAAATGTTGGCTTTGAGGCCCCACAGATTCTTCTTAGCCTTGCTGCCCTCTGGAGACAGTTTTGAGGCACTGTCCTAAAGGAGAGGTGGAGACCCCTTAGCTTGTCTTTCAAAAATGGTCCAAAATGTTTTGCTACCTTAGAAAAAGGTGGTGGCCACATCTATAGAAGCTGACTGCGATGACCCTGTTGGGTTTTAATTCAACAGTGGTAACAAGGCCTACATCCTCCACTTCACCTGAAAGCCACTGACTGTTTACTGGTGTGTGGTAGCGCACATCCTCCACTTCACCTGAAGGCCACTGACTGTTTACTGGTGTGTGGTAGCTTTGTCTTCCAGTAGAAACAAATGGCCAGGGCCAACCACTTTGGTCCTCTCTGTCTCAGCCATCATCTGTCATCATCTGTCTCCCTGTTCCCCCTTTCGGTGGCCTGTCTCTCCTGCTAAGCAGGCTTGTGTTTCTCGCAGGTGGACCGAAACCAGTCCTGGCTACTGGACAGGTGTGCTAGCAGGACGGGTTTGGACCCTCACCCAGTCTGAGGAGCAGCTGTGGTACACGCTGCACGATGAGGAGAAAGAAGAGGGCAGCCGGGAGGAAGAGGCCCTCTCTGAACCACCGTTGAAGAAAGGGAAGAAACAGTCGCAGCCGGACGCGAGTCGTCCTGGAACGAGCGACCGCTCTGGCAGCCATGTGTCAGGAGAACTGCTCCGAGGGATGGACGGGTTGACTCCCTCACAGATCCTCCAGGACTATTTCCAGCTACACGTAAATTTATCTGCGTTGTACCAGGGTTGGTCTTACGTTGACTCACATTTCCGGGAAGTCGCTCTGAAGTTCCCAGGTAGGTGAAAGCGAAGAAGTGTCGCTGGGGCTTGATGGCTTGATTAAAGATGAGTATTATTATTACTGTTTTATTATTTGCTCTATTTATATACTATTTTTTCTTCCATGGAGCTCAAGACAGTATTGCTTTTCCTCTTCTCCATTTTGATGCTCAGAACAACCTCCTGGAAGAGGTTAAAGCTGGGAGATAGGGACTGATTGGAGGTCACCCAGTGAGTTTTGAAGCCAGCTTTCTTGAGTCTCAGTCCAATACTGTCACCACTGCACCCTGCAGTCTTCTTACCGGGAAAAGAACGAAAGGGTGCAAGTCAGAGTATCGGCGTATTTCAAGAGAGGGACAGGAGACTCCGTCTGGTGTGCCCTTTATTTGGCAATGATAGGCTTGCCTCAGAGCTGTGTTGTGTGACACCGAGTGTTCAGTTTCACACAAGCTGGTACAGCTATTTTTCTTCATTGACCCCCATTTTTATTTTAAGAAATAAGCATTCTGGTCCTCGTTGTCACACACAAATGATACAGTCAAATGATGCAGTAAAAAACAAACCTCTGTTACACAGAGAAATCTCTGATTCCTTTAAGGATAAACACCATGAGCTTGCTACATGATTTGGCTGTTGCCAATTGAATACATTTGAAAAAAAAAGATGGATGGGAAGCCATAAGGTGGTATTAGAGCCCCCACCCTCTGGCCGCTAACAGTCCTACTCAGCTTCTTTTCTCTCCTTCTAAAAATAAGCCTCTTCCCACGGAAGCAGGCCCCTTGCTATGTGACTGATCACACACTCTTGGTGTACAGGCCTGGACATGCAAAGGGCAGCCTGCTGGAGTAGGGGAGAACAGTTATTGATCACCCATCTGGGATCACGCGATGCAGGGCTTCCCAGCCTTGGGCAGCCCTGGCGTTCTTGAACCGCAACTCCCAGGCACCCCAGCCAACACAGCTAGTGATGAAGGGCCTCTGGAAGTTGCAGTCCAGGAACCCCTGGGTTTCCCCAAGGCTGGGAACCCCTGACATCATGGAAGAGCGTCCTGGCCATCATGTTTGTGCTTTTTTTTTTACACCTAATGCACTCGATTCCAATGGTTGTGTCACTATTCGGTCACGAATCCTGCAGAGCGACAGACACATCGCCTTGAATGCCGAGAGCTGGCTGTGTGTTTGGCGGGAGGAGGAGGCAACCCCATTCAGCTTATTTTCAGGGTCCCTGTGCTTCAGGGTTCATGAGTCCACCAGGCGTGTGGTTGACCGCCTCCTTCTACACCTAATGCACTCGATTCCAATGGTTGTGTCACTATTCGGTCACGAATCCTGCAGAGCGACAGACACATCGCCTTGAATGCCGAGAGCTGGCTGTGTGTTTGGCGGGAGGAGGAGGCAACCCCATTCAGCTTATTTTCAGGGTCCCTGTGCTTCAGGGTTCATGAGTCCACCAGGCGTGTGGTTGACCGCCTCCTTCTGCCTTCTCAAGGGAGGAGGAGGAGGCGACCCCATTCAAGCTTATTTTCAGGGTCCTTGTGCTTCAGGGTTCATGAGTACACCAGGCGTGTGGTTGACCGCCTCCTTCTGCCTTCTCAGGGGTGCGGGTGCTGCGCCAGGACCCTGTGGAGTGCCTCTTTTCCTTCATCTGCACCTCCAACAACCACCTGTCCCGCATCACCAACATGATTCAGCACCTGTGCCAGGCCTTCGGGCGCCGCCTCTGCCAACTGGACACGAAAACATACCATGCCTTTCCCTCCCTGCAGGCAATGGCCGGTAAGGATGTTCTTGACGGCTGCTCTCAGACTCAGAGGTGGTGGTGGGGGGAAGAGGGGTTCCTTTTAGGGACTCCCTCTCCCAAAATCCACCAGACAGATGGCTGCAGGATTCTGGGAGTTGTAGTTCCAAAGATGTTACCATTCCAGGCTAGAGATGGAAAGGCCCAGGGGAAAAAAACCAGAAAAACACAAAAAATTACCATTCCAGGCTAGAGATGGAAAGGTCCAGGGGGAAAAAAACCAGAAAAACACAAAAAAAGAATTGTAGTTTTTTTTCCAAAGCCATTTTTTGGACTTTTTCCAGAAAAAAATGAAAAATAATGACGCATGGCATATGTTCTTTTACAATGATAAATAATACGCTGTAGTGTTTTTTTTCCAAAGCCAATTTTGGGGCTTTTTCCAGAAAAATTGAAAAAAAATATGGAGTATGGCATATGTTCTTTCACAATGATAAATAATACGTCTATGACATGATATTCAAACTATATAAAATGAAGACCTGAATGAAAGACTTCTGAGACTTTTATGTATTTAAGTTCTCTGAGAGAACTTTTGAACACAACAGATCAAGGAGAAATCTAGCTGAAACTCAGCAGGACTGGTTTATTTTATTTTATTTATATATTGCCCAGTTAGTGCAATGCACTACAGTATTCTGAATGATTTACAACAATAAAAATAAATAAATCATATATTGTTCTAACTACTAATACATGAAGAAGTTAACCATTAATAAATAAAAACACCTGGCACCGATTGTTTTCCTCCCTGAATGCAGCAGAGCACAGAATATTGCATTTTGGGCCAAATCAGATACATGTCAGAAAATCTTTGCAGTATGTATTTGCGTTTGTGCTTGGGAGAAGTCTAGATGCTCGACTGAGATTATTTTTTAACAAGGTAACTTCTGTTCAGTGTTTTGTAAATCTTGGAGGGAGGTCTTTGGTCAGGGCCAGTTCTATTTGCCAGTCTTACGAGACTCTCTTGGATTCAGTGGTGCCTGCTGTATTCCGTTTGTCCTGGGTGTCAAAATCAGGGCTGAAGAGTCTGTGGGCCTTCTGGTGATTTTAGGCTCCCATTCCCATCTGGCTGGGCCACAGTTTTCTTCAGCCCTGCTTGAATTCCTCTTCTGCTTATTTGGTTCATTTTTAGATCACCTTCCTCTGAGTGAAGGGGACCCAAGGCAGCTCAGAAAATTAAAACAAGTGGCAATGCTTACAAAGTTAAAAAACGATTAAACTTGCAATATTTTAAAAGCAATTAATTCATCATACAATAACAATTTTTTTAAAAGCATTAAAAAACCCACACAGGAGAACAAAAATCCAGTATTCGGGGGCTCAAGTCGTAATTATTAAAAGCCTGCCTGAAAAGGCAGGTCTTTAACGGAGGGCAAAATGATAAAAGGGAGGGAGCCAACCTGGCCTCCCAAGGGAGAGCATTCTGCAACTCGGGAGCTGCCACTGTTATGAAAACTTTACATTCTGTTGGTTGAGAACCACTGCTCTAGGGTATGTATGGGGAACCCTTGGCCCTCCGGATGTAATAGGGTGTTAAGTCCCACAATGTCCGGTCATACTGCCTGAGGCTTCTGAGACTTGACACACAAATCCTCTGAGTGGCCAAACGTCCCCTAATCTTTGGAGGCGGTTAGTGGGTTTGCTGGAACTTTCTAAGAGCATTGAGGGACAAGGATTCACCCATTGAATTGTGGGGCAAAGTATGTGAATTTGCTCGGCACCAATCCCTTTCCTCTCATAATTAGCCAACAGGAGGATTTTGGAAATCACAGGTGGTTGTGCCTTATTCACACAAACCTGGAGTGAAGCAGCAAGGCATGGCATGGCATGCATAGGAAGTGAACTATCCTTTCTCCCATGACCTGGTGGGGTCTCTTGTGTATTGGACTACAACATCCAAAAGCCCTCAATCAGCCTAGGAGTCCTGATGAATTTGTTTCTGGAATGTGAAATACAAATAGCACAGTTGTGAAAGAGGCAGCAGGGTTTCAACAAGTATAATAAACATGAAACAAAAAAAGCTTTGGAACTGAGACTCCTTTAAGACGAACAGGTTTATTTCAGCCTGCGCTTTCTAGGATGGTAATCCAGTTCCCGAGACACGAAAGATAGGACAATGACTTTCTTCTGTTGCCGTCTCCATAGCTAATCTATAAGTATAGAATCATAGAATAATTGAGATGGAGAGGGTCTCTAAGGCCATCAAGTCCAACCCCCTGCTCAAGGGGGTTAATAAGCAGACAGAGGGCTGTCTACTTTTCTCTTGAATGCCTCCAATGTTGGAGCGCTCCCCACCTCCTGACGTAATTGGGTTCCATTGTCGTACTGCTCTAACAGTTAGGAAGTTTTTCCTGATATCCGGTTTCCTGTAGCTTGTGCTGTACCTTTTATATTCTTTAACGTGATTGATTCATTGACTGGTGATGCACTAGGTTTCAGGGTATTTTTCTAGACCACATGCTTTTCTTCTCTTCTTTGGTGATCCGTGTTTCTTCTAAAGGAAATGATCCTTCTTTGGGTAACCTGTTGCAGGAGCTGACACAGAAGCCCGGCTGAGGGATCTGGGTTTTGGGTATCGGGCACGGTTTGTTAGTGAGAGTGCCCGTGCCGTCCTGAAAACTCTCGGGGGCGCTGCGGGCCTGCAGCAGTTGCGTGCCGTCCCTTACGAGCAGGCTCGGCACGCCTTGTGCACCCTTCCCGGGGTGGGAGCCAAGGTGAGTGTAACCTGGATAACTTAACTCTGCTAAAGCGGAGATCAACTGAGTTCAAGAGGGTGGCGACCATATGAGGGGTGTGTGTGTGTTGTGTATATGAGAGGGGGTGGTGGAAATGTCGTTCTCATGAAGGGCTGGGTTGAACTCGCCATGGACAATTATAGTATCACTGTTTTCTTGTGGGGAGTGGGGGAGGCTGAGAGACAAGGACCGTTGTTGTGAGACACTCACTGCCTCGGCTTCTCTTTCAGGTGGCTGATTGTGTGTGTCTCATGTCGCTGGACAAGACCGAGGCGGTGCCGGTGGACACCCATATATGGCAGGTTGCCAAGCGGTACTATGGCCAAGAGCTGGGCATGGGGGCCCGTAGCGTGACCGAGCGGGTGCATCGAGAGATCGGTGAGGGCTGAACGGTTGAAGAGGGGTGGGAGGCTGTGATTGGGATCACCCAGAACATCACGCAGCCTTGCCTCTTCCTGCCTTTTTTGTTCAGCACACGGCTTCAGACTGTTCACATTTCACAACCGAACTCACCGAGGTCTAGTTTCTCATGCTAGTTGCTGTATCCCCTAGTTGCTGTATCTTCGAATGTTCAGTATTTGAACATTCGAGTTTCAAAGGCACAACTTTCAGACAGGAACAGAGTTGGCTGTTGCATCTCAGGGGCAGTTCCAGAAAATATACCTAAAAACAGAACAACAATCCTCATAGATCAGTCAAAGGCCTGTCTGATCCACCCTTTTGTTGCCATAGCAACTGACCAGATGTCCAAGAGAAACCCCTGAGCAGGGTGTGAAGGCAGTAGCCCTCTCCCACCGTTATTAAGAGATACAGTGGGGTCTCTACTTAAGAACGTCCCTACTTAAGAACAATCCAACTTAAGAACAGCTCCATTTGCTAAATTTTGCTTCTACTTGAGAACAGAAATCCAATATAAGAACAGGAAAAAAAACCTTTCCTGCTCTTTTTTTAACCTTAGGTCATCTTAGGTTAAAACAAAATTCTCCCCAAGTGGTAGAGTACATATTAACCAGCTTTGCATTAGTTCCTATGGGAACTAATGCTTCAATGTACGAACGCACCTCTACATAATAAAAAAACAGCCAGAACGGATTAATTGGTTTTCAGTCCATTCCTATGGGAAATCTTGCTTCAACTTAAGAACATTTCAACTTAAGAACACCATTCCAAAACGGATTAAGTTCTTAGAGGTTCCACTGTAGGAGCTTGGTTGATGGTAGAGCAAATGTTTTTGCATGTGGAAAGCTCCAGGTTGTGCTCACATCTCCAGATACAGCCGCCTGGAGTCCTGGAGAGCTGGTGTCCATTCCTGGACTTAAATTAGATCTGTGTTTCCCAAACTTGGGTCACCCAGGTGTTCTTGGACTGCAACTCCCAGAAACCCCAGCTCGCACATCTGGTAGTGGAGGTTTCTGGGAATTGCAGCCCAAGAACACCTGGGTGACCCAAGGATAGGAACCCCTGAGTTAAATGGACTCAAGGTATGGCTTGGCAGAAGATAGCTTCTTACGCTTCTGTTTTCTTCAGTAGTTGTTTTCTTGAAAGTTGCATATAACGAGCAGCTATTGGTCACGTCAGCCTCTAGAAATCAATCTTCATCTTTTTCTAAAGCCACTTAAACTCACATCCTGAGGAAGTGAATTCCACAGTTCTATGTGTCGCTGTGTGAAACAAGTAAGATTCATTTACTCCTCAAATGAGTCCTAAGGGGACAAACATTTTTGGGGGGTTTATTTAAAATATTTTTAACCTACCTTTCTCCTTAAAAAGGACGTAAGGCGGCTTACATTAAATAAAAAAACAGCATTTAAGCTAGTAACAGTGCATATACAATACTAAAAGGATTTTAATGAATATAATACCAAAATGCATTGAATGCCAGAGAGTACAACAATCCCTTTTTTAAAAACCCACTCAGCAGCCATTCACTGAGGGAAAGCTCACCTGGAGAGAAAGGTCTTCATCTGCTTGCAGAAGGAGAATAAAGATGGGGCCAGTCTAGCCTCTGGTGGGAGGGAGTTCCAGAGTCTGGGAGCAGCAATAGCAAAAGGCTTTGGGGGGGACAGTATTCCTTGGGGCAAGATGGGCTGCAGCTGGTCTCAAGCCATTTGCTTCTGCCCTTTTTTTCACCTTCCTACGTGTGTCTGACTATAATAATGAGTAGGATCCGATCGGTTTGTTGCAGCGGCACAAGTAGAGCAGTAAATTTCCGCTAGTTAACAAGCTGCCCTGTATGTCCCCTTGCTGCTCACCAGCTCACGCGACTGGCACGCAATGAGAGACAGAAGCAGCAGCATCTTCTTAGCCGGCAGCGGTTCACCCTTGCAGTTTATACCCTTGCCCTTCCACCGTGGTGACGATCCAAGAGGATTCTGTCCAGTGTAAAATGTAATTGTGTCATGGGTTTATATTAGGATAAAATAAAACATTGGCTTTTTAGCAGAGCTTGGGGGAAATTCGGTTCTTAGGCTGCAGCTCTGTGAATCCCGCAATGGCCGCCCTGGTGGGAGTTCCATCGTTGACCCAAAGATCACTCTCACAGGCTGTACTCGAATGTCAAGGCAAATCAACTTTGCTCCTTTGCAACTGCCTCATAAGCTGACTGCTGCTTGGTTGCTCTTCTTCCAGGGAACTTCTTCCGGAGCCTGTGGGGACCATACGCTGGATGGGCACAAGCGGTGAGAAATGTGTTTGAATCCCTTTTGTCCTGCTCTGCTGACTGTGGGCGTTGTGGGTAGTGAGATACAAGAGTGGGACCTACAGTTATCCTTTGTGCTCGTTATCGGCAATCTGAGGCTCTTCAGATGTTACTGAGATTGGTTTTTTTTTCCCCTTCACTGTGGGTCATTTTCTGCTGAGACCTAATAGGGGCATTTGGAGTGCCACAGATTTCCCACACCTGACTTGCAGTTACATTGCTCAAGTGCAGGAGCTAATCTGAGGTAAACAGTTCAGCATCCTTAGAACCTTACCCTGTGGGATCCTAGATCTATATGTTAAAAAAGTAACGTTCACAACCTGTGCGTCTCCCATTTCTCTATCCATCCTTCCTTCTGCATTCTCGTTTCCTCCTCCGATTTTACTTTTTAAATGAAACCCCCACTTTTCCCCCTGCGCAGTGTAAGGAAACAGAGGTGCAGTCTGCTTTTATTGTTTCTTGAGGGTGTTCCTTCATTTATTGCTTTGTTTAATTTGAATTACTTCTGCAAATCTCAATATTCCTTGTATATCCAGAGACCTCATCTCACTTGTGGATGAAGCCTCTTCCCAGATATCCTGATCAGAAATTCTGATCCTAAGCTTAGTGATTTTCTTCCATGATTTTTTTTTATCCAGTCCTGCCTCACATCTCCTATGCTAATGGATATTGTTCTGTTTGGGGGCAGCAAATGCTACAAATTGATTTTGGGTTTTATGAAAAAGTTATTTCCTTCTGTCTGTATGTTCCAGGAATGGGCAAAATGGTTAGATGGCTGCCGTTTATCCAGCTTTGTGTAGACAGAAGGCTTGTCTTCACCGGTACTCTAGGAGCAGGCTAAGTAGGGTCACCTGAGATCAGTTAATGAGGTGATATGCCATTTGGTGTGATCCTGACATCTAAGTGGCATATCAAGTGACCCTGTTCGGTCTGGCTCCTTCCAGTTTGAATTTCCAATATTGTGAAGTGGTTAAATCCACTTCAGAATATCAACAAATTGAAGATGTTCTCTGCTCCTTGGCAGAGGAGGAGAAGTGATTTTTTTAAAAAAATTCTTGTAGACCAAGCCTGATGTGCTGCATCACTTACAAAAAATGTAAAAAAATATATCTTTGTTTTGTCTTAAAGGATTAAATGAAAAACAGGGGGTGATTTCTTGACTGGCTCTTCAGACAAGGCAACTCATTTTTCATGATCAGCATATCAGCATCAGCTTATTTATAAAATAACATCAGTTCTCCTGTCCCTCAACTCAGCAGCAGATGATTTTTCAGTTTGCCGATATCCTGAAGTGGCTTGCTTCACGATACAGCCAACTGACAGGTGAAGGAGCCTCGACAGCTTAAGGCTCCCTTCTTGGTCTGTTTGGTCTGCTGGACATGGATCAAACTCACACTCGGAAAGTAGAAGCCCCTGACAGGGGGTCAGAAAGGTGAGGGTAGGAATCCTCAGGGGACAATTTGGTTCACTCCGGCAGTTACATTGTGTGATCACCAAAAAAAGAGCGAACCAGTCTGTCCCTGCAGTAGACCAAACAGTGGGATAAATGCCCATCTGACCACACTCAAAATTCTGTCATTTATATTTACTTTCTAGACAACTTTACTCCCCAAAAGACACCCAGCTTGTCTCAGTTAAGAACTAAGGACCATTTGCCTGCTTGTTGTTGTCGTTGTTTTTGAAGACTGCTCTGCACGAGAACAGGAGCAGCCCTGCCACTAGGCAGAGTGAGGCAAGCATCTCTAGGTGGCTCCTTGACCCCTGAAAAAGCCATCTGCCCTCAGGGGGTTGAAGGCCTTATCCTGGGGCCAGTGCTGAAAACACAAAGGCCAGTCCTTATCATGTATGCATATGGATTTGAGGGAATAGGGTGCCCTCTTATTCTTTGTTTGAGGTAGCGAAACATTTTCAGCTGGCCCCAAGGGAACATTGAGGTATGCTTGCACTCTCAAACATCTGCACCCACCTTGTGACCCTTTAGTGGCCTTCCTTGTGAGAAATTACAAATGGGCAAATGAGTCCCACCGCACAGGCGCACAGGCACGTTGGCATCCTCTGAGCCCCCTCAAGGGCCCCGTCTTTTCAAGAGGGCATATTAACCCCTTGATAATCCCCCTGTGCTCTAACCCATAGGTCACACTCCTCTTCAGGCCTCCCTCTGTCAACGTGCTCCTAATTCGGGCTGCCTTTCCTTCCCTTTCCAGGTTCTCTTTTGTGCTGATCTGAGAAAATACCAGGAAGCTTCAGATTCAGACGCCAAACTCCGCTGTGCCAAAGTTGCCCGGAGCAGCTATTCTACCTTAACATAATAATTCCTCTTTATCTTCGCTATCATGTTTGTGTGTGTGTGTGTATGTATGTATCTGGCGAGTCAAAAACTACTTCTGCTGCAGGGCTGGAGCCAGAGAGAAACCTCCACCCTGAAAACGAGGCACCGTCAGAGCTGTTGAAGAAAGTCTGAGGAGTTTTGTGTTTGGCACACCTAAATGAGCCACTTTTCCTGGATGTTTCCTCCGCTCTCCTTCCCCCCAGGGGTTTCTTTGTGATATAAACTTGATGTGTAGCAGCCATGTAATATAGAATGCTTTTCTTGTTGTTTCCGTCCTTTGCTTTGGTGATACAGTATTATAGCGTAGAATAGACCATTTCTCTCTCTCTCTCAGGCCCATTCCCTCCCTACCAAAACCTGGGCCATACATTTAAAGTTCGGACTAAAAGATGGAACGGTTACCTCACTTCAGAAGTGGCATTACACACGGTCTAATTAAACACTCAGCTAGACCCTGTGACAGTGTGAGGTGGGCAGCACGCCTAGCAGTAAAGGGTCGCCACGTTCCCCCCTTCCCACACCTCAAGCTAGTTGGGTCTCCTCAGCCTAACTCTCACTGTGGTCAGAATGTTGGCCAAGATGTCACGGATATTGAAAGGAGGGGGAAATATATATTTCAAAGTGGTGTGAGAGAGGTTATGCTTTTATTTCACAGCCTTCCCTTTCATTTATATGCAATGTGGCAATGTACAACTGTAAATGCAAAGCTGTTGCCGCAGGTCGCATCCAGCTTCCTGTGTGGACAGGTCTGTGCTTTAGATTTTTCTTTAAATGAGAACCTGAAATCTGCACTCGATGTAGAGATGAGAGCTCTAGGATATTTGCTGGTTGCTCAGTGTTTGGAACAGCTACTCTTGAGTTATTAAAACCCATTGCTAAACAAGGATCATCCTGAAAGGTACTTTGACCTCACTGCTAGTTTGATGCCGCCGTGCCCATTCCAGCTGCTGAGAAGCGCCTCTTAAAAATGCCTTTATTTCTTAGCCTTGTAAAAATAGGCCCTCTTCCTTCATCCCAGAGTGTTTGTATATTCATGTATATCAAACATCATTTTCTCTTGCTTCCCTTTATGTCCTGAAGGCTGTTCTCCAGTGTATTACTGAGGCTCAGCAACTTAACATTTTATCCCTCAATCTCCTTTTCTCACATCCTTTCAATTTGTTTCTATAATGAAGGTTCAAATTTTGTCTGTATAACAACCCAAAACTGTGGGTGGGCTGCAGCCAAAGCTTTTTAACGTTTGCTGATTGGAGCGGAAGGGCTTAAAGATGTGCTTGACTCTCCTTGTCAAAATGAGTGGGAATTTTAGAAAGCACACCACATTGGGCTGGCTCGTGGCCAGTGTTTGTATTGTCTGCAGTTCCAGCAAACCCTGATACTCCCCTTATTCACCCTGCTTCCTTTTATCCTGATTACTTCTAGACTGTAAGCTGCTTTGGGCAGAGACCTATTTATTTTTAATCCTTTTATAAAGTGTTTAACCAATTTCTAAGTGCTGTTGTCAAGAATAATAAATAACAAGCAACAGTGGGTTGTCTTCTACAGTTCTTATATCTAGCCCATTTTTTTTTCAGCCACTGTGTCTGCACAACGACTCCCACGTTTGGTTGCTGAGAGAGTTGTGGTAGCTTCTGCCTTTTCTTCCAGCCTATCACATCCATGGGCCAGATAAAGCCATGCATGCTTCCTTTTTTTCTAGCCCATTTTTTTTCAGCCACTGTGTCTGCACAACGACTCCCACGTTTGGTTGCTGAGAGAGTTGTGGTAGCTTCTGCCTTTTCTTCCAGCCTATCACATCCATGGGCCAGATAAAGCCATGCATGCTTCCTTTTTTTCTTTTCTTTTTTTTAATACAAGAACAAGCAGCAAAATAGAAACTTCAAGTTAGAAAGTTCCTCTTGAACCAACAGTATGCGAAACCAGAGAGGACAACAGAGCAAAATGAGGAACTGTTAAGCTTCCAGGTCCAACAGAAGAGCAAGGAAAAGAGAGAGTAGGCAGCAAGAAGGATCCTGGTTCTGCCCAATGAATGGGTGGTGCCAGGGTTAGACTGGGTGAAGATAAACCAAGGTTATTGTTATTATTTTAAAAGAGAAGTCCCACAATGAGATTTTTCACCCAGGCTGTGGACCTGCCATTGCACTGGCGTGGCAGATGGACTGGTCAGTTGAACGCTGGAGGGGGTGAGTCACTTCCTGTAACAAGGAGACGGGCCTCGGCCTTGCACTCGCCATCTATTTTATGCAGGCTGTTAGAAAAGACCAAATATGCCTGTGTGCCTATGTGCACTTTTTCTTCCCTTTGTCCCCACCAAAAAAAAAAAAAAACACCACCCACCATTTAAAAACAAAAGAGAACAAAACAGTTGCAGAATTGCTCCAGATCTAGGCAATGGCCAAGAGGTGGCCCTCCAAGCAGGCTAGCTCTCCATTTCGACCTCTGAAACACATGGAAAAACTGGACAGCTGTTTCCCACCCACTGCCAGCTAGAAGAGAAACGTGTGCCTCTTGAGGGCAGCCGTGGTGTTTTTAACCCCAACCGTAACTTTTTAAAATTAGGCTTCCCTCTGCTGACAGTCAAAGGACCTCAGAAGAGGCCTAGGGGGTCCCCCAGCAAAGCAATGTGGTCCCTTGTGGGGGACCTCCAAGCCCTGACAGCTGGAGGGGCACCCCCAGGGCGAGTCTGAGGACCGCCATCTCTGCAAACAAAGCAGCATCCTTTCCCCCTGCAGTCCGTGCCTGGGTATCCCTCTGGGGGCTGCAAGTACTGTGAGCCCTTTCCGAGGAGGTCTCGTCTGAAGTGCATGGGATGGATGAGGGCCTTTGTTAGTCCACTGATGGGAGAGGATCCTTCAGGCTCCACAGACACGTCTCCATCTAGAGATCAAGCCCCACCTTCAGCGGCTGTGTGCAAAAGGCCTGAATGGCCCCACCAGGTGTTTTTTTGGGAAATGGGGAGGTGAGGAAAAGGGGCACATTATCCACATGTTGGGGTAAGGAAGAAGACCGTCTCTTTGGCTTAGGCTAAAGGGTGAAGAGAGGCCAGGCAGAGACACATCCTGTTGGGTTGTGTCCAGAGGGAAACCTTAACGAGAGAGGAAAGGATCTCCTCCGAGAACTGGGTGGATGATGAAAGATCACCTCCACTCTCCCTGCCCCCCCCCAATGCGTTCAGGAGGGTGTGCCTGGTCAAGGGAAAGCCTTTGGCCCCTCTGCGCTAAGGGGCTCGACCACACTTTGCTAGGAGGGACGAGGTGGCAATCCCCCAGACCCCTCCTTGGCACTGTCTGTGGCAACGTGGGAGAGAGCTGGGCTTGGAACAGCCCACCCAACAACGATGAGTTGGTGCTGGCACTGCCATCTGTCCAGTGGAGAACATTCAGTCCCGAGTTTGGTGGTGAGAACCATCCTCCAAAGATTCCTCACTGCTACTGGATGGGGAGCCTGAAGCAGACAAAAGAAGAAAAGGTCTGTTAGGGCTGGATTCAGCAGTAAGCACGCTGTATTATCACTAGCAACAAAGTAAAGCCACTTTAAGTCCCCTTTTTGGGAAAGGGGGTCTATAAACAAGAGAAACAAATCCCATGTTACACCCATAGACTTTGGGTCATCATCAAAATTTAAGAAGAAACATCGCCCAAAACATCATAATGGGATGCTTGGCCAACTAATAATACCCAAAACACATCAAATGCTTACTAGGCTTAAAATAATTATCACAATGACCAAACATCACACAACTTGTACAAAGAGTAAAATAATTGAAGGATACAATCCTGAAACGAGCCACTGTATTCTTACTGATCGACAGCCCTTGGAAACTGCTAAAACATGCCGCATGATCCAACAACATGCTATGTGGAAAGGAAATCTACAGTAGGGAGCCAGGGATGGGACTGGGGTTGAGCATTGAGGATTTAGCATCTGCCACTGATTTCAGATTTGCTACTCTGTTTCCCCAAAAATAAGACCTAACCTGAAAATAAGCCCTAGTATGATTTTTCAGGATGCTCGTAATATAAGTCCTAACCCAAAAATAAGTCAGTTAAGTGAAACCCTGCTCTCCACCATTGTGCAGCAACCAGAAAATGAATTATTGTTAACAACAACAACAACATCCCCTGAAAATAAGCCCTAATGCATTTTTGGAGCAAAAATTAATATGTTTTATTTTGGGGGAAACACGGTACTAAGGTTCGAAGTGCAAAAAAATTAAAGTACAGTATGACCCCCTTCACAGGATCAGTACCCACAGTCTGAAAATATTTTAAATCTTTTTTTAAAATAGAAAAAAAATATTTTCACATTTATTACCAGAACTGGCCACTAGATGGAGTCAGAGACCATGCTATGTACACTTGTTTACAAAGACTACATAGCATGGTCTCTCTCGCCCTGTAGTAACCAGTTCTGTTAATGCATGTGAAAATATTTTTCCCCTTTACCACCACAAGTGTCTGTGTGTATGTGTGTCTGTGAGAGTAAGAATGAGAGTTCTTTATTATCCACAGTCTTCAATATCCACCGGGGGCTTAGAACCAATCCCCAGCGGATACAGGAATCCTACTGTAAAATCAGTATCAGATCTGGTATTTAGCACCCACACATCAAGGGTCAACAATTAGAAACTGCATGGATCAAATGTTAAATAAAATGAGGACATTCTTTACTGTGGTACTCCATTGCTTATCATTTAAATTGAACTTGTTCTGGAACCAAATTTAAAACTTCCTAAATTTCATATCTCCAGTTACCATGGCTTGGTTCTGGCTTTTTGGATTATGGATATGTTTAAAACTGTACTTGTATTTCAATTATGCCGTAAGCCATCTTGGGTCCACTTTTGGGGAGAAAGACAGGATACAAATTGAACACATTTTTGTCTTCTCTTTATTCTTTTTAATTATATTGAATTTGGATTGGTTTCTACTATTTACAGTGTCTTACCCAGAGACCTCCAGATTTAGCATGAGACATAAATATTCCAGAAAATAAAATAAATGATAGGTATCAAACTCTGCTATGAATGACATTGCCTCCATATTTGACATCAGGATTCAAAGGTGAAATAGTGAAATACTGAGCGGTACCTTGACTTGCAAATGTCCTTACTTGCGAACGATTCGAGTTACGAATGGCTCCGTTCGCAAGAAGTCACTTCAACCTGCGAACAGAGCCTCGACTTACAAACCAAAAGAAAAAGAAAGAAAAAAAACCACTTTTCTGCCCTTTTTTGACCTAAGTTCACCTTGGGTCAAAAGAAGAAAAAAAAATTTTTTTAATCGCCCCCTAGTGGTAGATACGGATTAACCGGCTTTGCATTAGTTCCTATGGGAACTAATGCTTCGACTTAAGAACGGCACCTCAACTTAAGAACGGAAAAAAAGCAGGTACGGATTAAATGGTTTTCAATGCGTTCCAATGGGAAAGTTTGACTCGACTTATGAACTTTTCGACGCGTGAACTTAATTCCAATACAGATTAAGTTCCCAAGTCGAGGTACCACAGTATTCAGCTTTCTCCTGATGTCATTCCCCAACACTGTAGAGAATATCCCACTCCCTCCACCAAGGGTGCTCCCAACTTCTCACCGTTGCTTTCCTGCATGGCTTGTCCAGGTCCCTCTAGGCTGGTTCCAAGCTGTAGCTTCCTCATATGCCTTACCACAGCAGTTGCATTGAAGGCTTGCTACACAGAAAGGGAGCACATACACATGCACACACACACAAAGCAAACAGGCATTAAAATAGAGGAGACTCTAGCAAAGCACTAAAATAAGTAATGGCTTTGCTCTTTTCCCACTCACTCTGGCCATTGAGAAAGGATGGTCAGCAAACACCTGTTACCAGAAGTGTTATCTATACACCCATCTTCCTTCACCTGGTGCCCTTCAAATGAGCTGGACTACAAATCCCATCATGCCAGTAGCCAAGCTGACTGGTGATGCAGGGGATTTACAACCAGTCCATCTGGAGGGTTCAGGCTTGGGGTAGACTGATCCAAATGATGTTGTTCTCTCTGCTCAAAGCATTTGGAAAAGCACAGTCTGAAAAGGCTAAAGGGGAATTTTCCTGAGGGTGCTCCCAACACCCTCAACCAGTGAGATGTTCCCCGGATTCTGTGAGGACAAGTGAGACTGCTAAACTGGTATAGAAAACCACTGCAGGTCTGTAGACTAGAGATATGCCCCAAAAGGTGCATACGAATCACCTTATGAATATTAATGCAATTCAGAAGCAGACAACAAAAACAGGAACATTCTAGCCAACAGAGGCTTTGCATCACAATTGTAATTTTAATTTGAGCAGGCACTGATTTACATCTAACACCTCATAAGCCACTCCTGTTGTTGTTTAGCCATTAAGTCGTGACTCTTCATGGCCCCCATGGACCAGAGCACGCCAGGCCCTCCTCCTGTCTTCCACGAGCCACACTTACTTAGTTGCAAGAGTTATTCAGTACTTACTTTCCACTTGCTCTTGGCAAAATTCTTTTTTATCTGCTCGCTCACTGACTGATGGATGTTCTTATCCAATGCAGTGTCACCAGCAATCCTGGGCAGGAAAAGGAAATCAAAATGGTTCTTACTAACAATGTATCTAAAAACATGTAGGAATGGTACAGTATCGAGATTTACACTGAATTCAAGGAAACTGATCTCTCTAGCTTCTGTTTTGTCTGCTATCAGCAGCTGGACACTTGAATTTTCCACACAAAATTAACTGTACAATTATTATAATCGATAGCCTTCTGTTTTCCCAAAGTTTGGAACAGCCTTTACTGGAGATCCGTGATTGTTTTATGTAATTAATAGACAGCCTTCTGTTTTCCCAAAGCTTGGAACAGCCTTTACTGGAGATCTGTGGTTGTTTATGTACAAATGTACAATTTAGACATTATGGGGATAAAGAAACCAGCCTATCGACACTACAAGAGTCACGGAAACATTATTATTGTTTTTCAAAAAGTCGTTCTTTTCCATCTCTCCTTGTACTTTCACATTCTATCATGTAAACGTGGTCTAGACCACAACTAGACAAATATATGATATGTATTCGCGAAGGCTTTCACGGCTTTTTAATTTGAGCAGGCACTGATTTACATCTAACACCTCATAAGCCACTCCTGTTGTTGTTTAGCCATTAAGTCGTGACTCTTCATGGCCCCCATGGACCAGAGCACGCCAGGCCCTCCTCCTGTCTTCCACGAGCCACACTTACTTAGTTGCAAGAGTTATTCAGTACTTACTTTCCACTTGCTCTTGGCAAAATTCTTTTTTATCTGCTCGCTCACTGACTGATGGATGTTCTTATCCAATGCAGTGTCACCAGCAATCCTGGGCAGGAAAAGGAAATCAAAATGGTTCTTACTAACAATGTATCTAAAAACATGTAGGAAAGGTACAGTATCGAGATTTACACTGAATTCAAGGAAACTGATCTCTCTAGCTTCTGTTTTGTCTGCTATCAGCAGCTGGACACTTGAATTTTCCACACAAAATTAACTGTACAATTATTATAATCGATAGCCTTCTGTTTTCCCAAAGTTTGGAACAGCCTTTACTGGAGATCCGTGATTGTTTTATGTACAAATGTACAATTTAGGCATTATGGGGATAAAAAAAACAGCCTATTGACAGTACAAGAGTCACAGAAACATTATTATTGTTTTTCAAAGAGTCATTCTTTTCCATCTCTCCTTGTAGTTTCACATTCTATCAGGTAAACATGGTCTAGACCCACAACTAGACAAATATATGATAACACTGTCAAACCCTTTCTATGTTGGTTTTATGCAAAAAAATCAATTAAATTACAAACTGATGCTCTCTGGAGAGTGGGCCACTTTATCTTGTTCTGAAATTCCCATAAGGTCTAGTCCATGACTGAGCTGGCTAGTGCTCATAGGAGTGGCACAACATGTGGAGGGCTATGCCTCCCAACCCTCTCTTTGGGGCCATGCAATGATTTTCCTAACCCTGCCACTAAGAGGTGCAACCAACTCATTTCTGACTCTGGATTTCAGGATCTTACGCAATGTGGGAAAGATGCATTTTAGGTCAAGTCTGTGGAACCCTTGGGCCCTCCAGATGTTTTGGCCTACAACGTCAACGACCCCTACCTAACACGGCCAGGGGTGAGGGACATATCTCCAAACCTCTTTAGGTCCCCAACCCCATGTTAGATAGTAAACTCAGTGACTTTGCTTATTTGGAGTGGCCGCTGGCCTTACAACATTCGGGGACTCCCTCAAGTCTATTTGGCTAATTGTATCTCTGGACTTTAGTTTATTAGATGTTTACCCCGCACCCACCCCCAGACAAAGTCTACTCGGGGCGGCTTACACACATGATAAAACATCATAATATAACAAATATAAAAAAATCATTTAAAACATCGTAATTTTAACACTTATTTTAGATCATTGCCAGGATGAAATAATTTAAAAGACAAAGAATAAAGATCAGTTATCCAAAGTCCTATCCTAGCAGTGCTCCTCCTGATCCCTGAGCACTCCTGCCCCTATAACTAGAGGAACCAAAGATGAAACACGGGGCGCACTGCATACAAAGCATAACGCTAAGCAAGGGCTTTTCCTACGCAAAGCTCCAGTGTCTTTTGCATTCACTCTTATGACAAGCCCCATGACAGGTATGAGGAACCTCTGGCACCTGTGATATGAGTGGACTCCAATTCCCATCCTCTCTCACTTTCAGCAATGCTGGATAGGGAGGTATGAGTTACAGTTTAACAACTGAGGTCCACTTGGTCCCGTATGAGATAAGACATTAGCAGAGCCATTCTGTACGTATCTGTTGAGTCCTTCTGATTTCGATGGGGCTGACTTTCAGGTTAGCAGGCCTGAAAGTCTACTACAAAGGTAAAGGTAAAGGTTCCCCTTGACAATTTCTGTCCAGTCGTGTTCGACTCTAGGGGGCAGTGCTCATCCCCATTTCCAAGCCATAGAGCCAGTGTTTTGTCCAAAGACAATCTTCCGTGATCACATAGCCAGTGCGACTTAGACACGGAACGCTGTTACCTTCCCACTGAGGTGGTCCCTATTTATCTACTCACATTTGCATGCTTTCGAACTGCTAGGTTGGTGGGAGCTGGGACAAGCGATGGGCACTCACTCTGTTGCGTGGATTCGATCTTACGACTGCTTGGTCTTCTGACCCTGCAGCACAGGCTTCTGCGGTTTAGCCCGCAGCGCCACCACCTCCCTGCTACAAAATTTTCTCATTTTACAAACGGACAGCAGAGAACAGGCCTAGTTCAAAGCCAAACGGAGAATGGGATCTGAGCTCCTTACCATGGGTGCTGTAGTGCTTGCTCACAGGTGAAGCGCTTCTTGGGATCCCTCTCCATTAAATGCCGGATGAAATCTTTGGCTGGGAGCGAAAAGAACGTGAGTGACCAAGAGTGGTTTATCAGCATCGTCACCACCCACAGCCTAACTCGACTTGATTCTGGTGTCCAAAGATGCTACCAGATCTTTCTTCTCACCTGATTCTGAGATGTCATCCCAATAGGGTGAATCAAATTCATATTCGGCCTTCAGGATTTGCTCAAAGAGCTTTGTGTCGTTCTCATCGTAGAATGGGGGATAGCCACACAATCTGAGGGGAAAGAGTGGGACAAGGTGTGCGCGTGACTTTTCAGGGTACGTATCAGGTTGAGGGGGAAATGCAGCCTGGGAACAAGCAACCCAGGGTGGAGAAATGAGGCATGCACAGAGGGAGAGGAGAAAAATAAAGAGAGTAGGTTACATCCTGGCCTGTAGAGCAGAGGAGTAGATTCACAGCATTGACTAGAAAGAGGGAATTAAAGCTACAATGACTGGGGTTGAGGCCCTTGCCTGGAAACCATGCCTGCAACAAGGTAAAAAGTGAACCTGCTATGATGAAAGCCACCTTGGCTCCTTTTTAAGGAAAAATGCAGGGTAAAAACATATTAAATAAACAAATAAACAAAATATTTCCTACCCAGTCTCAGTGAGTTAGGTAAAGGTAAAGGTTCCCCTTGACAATTTTTGTCCAGTCGTGTTCGACTCTAGGGGGCGGTGCTCATCCCCGTTTCCAAGCCATAGAGCCAGCATTTTGTCCAAAGACAATCTCCCGTGGTCACATGGCCAGTGCGACTTAGACACGGAACGCTGTTACCTTCCCACCGAGGTGGTCCCTATTTATCTACTTGCATTTGCATGCTTTCGAACCGCTAGGTTGGCGGGAGCTGGGACAAGCGACGGGCGCTCACTCCGTCGCATGGATTCGATCTTACGACTGCTTGGTCTTCTGACCCTGCAGCACAGGCTTCTGCGGTTTAGCCCACAGTGCCACCACGTCCATGGAGTGCCACCACGTCCTATTACTTTTATCCACCTTAAAGAAAAAGAGTGGACCAAAGGAGGAGTCAAGGTCTATGCAGCTCAAGACTTCAGGGTTGGAACATCCCTCCCTCCCACCATGTAGCTGCCTGTCCCTCTAAAAATCAACCTCTAAAGCTCCCCTCCATTGACCTACTAAAGACATTTTCAGTTGTTTTCTTTCCCCACCAGCCCTCCCCATCTATATAATGCTTGTCAGCTCACTTAGCCCCAACATTATCCTCTTGTTGGCAAGAGGTTGTGACGTTCTCCTCATCATAGAAGAGGGTGGGCTGATTTTTAAATACCAGCTTTATGCTAACTGATTATCTCTGATGATTGCTTGGCATAGGTACAGCTTCATGTTATACCTATGCTATTTGTTTTTAATATCTGTATATTTCAATTGTTGGAAAATGAAGAAATGTGACAGGGGAGAAAATGGATTGATTTGAAACCCCTTGTGTGTCGGAGAGTGGTTTTACAGATACCACAGACTGCTAAAAAGACAAATAAGTGTGTTCCAGATCACATCAAGCTTAAACTCTCACTATGAGTGAAAATGACTAAACCGAGGCTGTCATGCTTTGGGCATATCATGAGGATAGAAGACTCACTGGAAAGGCAACAGTGCTGGGAAAAGTCAGAGGCATCAAGAAAAAAGAAAGCTCTGACATCAGTTGGGCTGACTCAAACCATTGCTTTTAGTTTAGACTTGAGCAGAGCTGTTAAAGATAAGACCTCTTGGAAAAAAAGTAATTCATAGGTGGCATAACTTATAAGTGTCTTTGCAGCACATAACACACACAAAGCATTATAAATGCCTTTTTGAAAAGGAAAAGGAAAAAAGAAAAAGTATAAAAATATGCAATTTCTTTATTCTATTTCTGTTCTGTCTCTTTTTATGTGCGTCCACCCATGAACACATTCTGTTCCACTTCTGCATTAACCTATTCCTAAAAAATATAAAAAAAATAAAAATCTGCACAATATACTCAATCTGCCTTTTACAATATATTTTATCTCAAAAGCAGGCTCAAACTTCAGTCTAGAAGGGCATACGTTTCAAAATTTGGACAAACAAGTTCCTCAAGCATCCCTCTATCTCACAGTAGCATTTGATAAACGTCTCTCAAAGATATTTGTAAGAAAGATCCAGGAACATCTTTTGCAGCAGGGGGTGACAATCCAACCCTTTTGCAGCAGTGCAGAAGATCACATCGCAGGTTTGAACAGGTGCAGGCAACTCATGAGAAAGAAGTCATGGTCTGGGCAGAAAAAGTGAAATTTCTAGTTCTCCATATTCCAAAACGAGTGTCCATACTAAAAACCTTCCCAGCCTATATGAGAGGGGGGAAAAGGAATTGACAAGCAGGCACATTAATGTGCTGCCAAAGTCAGCCAAGAGAGACAAAGGCTGTGTGTCAAACATCACTGGGGCTCCCGGGGGGGGGGGAGAGAAGCATCTAGAAAGGACTGGAGAGAGAATGCACCTCCCTCCATTTGCCTCTTTTTCTGCCATTTCAACTTGATACATACAAGATATAGGCGATGACTCCAATTGACCAGCAGTCCACAGCCTTGCTGTAAGGTTTCTGCGCCAACACCTCAGGAGCTGGACCATACCAGGAGGATTGGGGAAGAAAGAAAAAAAAAAGAATGTGACCATTACAGGCTGAAGGATCCCATGGGCCCTCATGTCATCTCTATTGCCAAATATAAGCCTTGCCTCAGGAAGTTTCTTTTAAGGCAGCTATGGGCAAACCGTTAGTCCTCCAGGCTAACTTCAGCTGTCAGCTTCAGAAAACATGGCCAATGATAGGGAATGATGGGATCTGGAGTGTACTCTCTGAGGAAATGTGTGGCAAGAAAGTGTTTCAAATTAATAAATAAATCCCACTTCTTATTATAGGCTACCTTCCTCACTTCCCAGGACAATTTTCAGGCCTGGCTCAAAAGGAAGGTGAGCTAAATAGCCAACTGGCCAGCTATACCTTAATAATAATAGACAATATTTCCTAGGTAGAGAAGAAGTGATTTACTTCTGGGGGGGGAGGGGCGCTTGCCCAAACGCCACCCAGGCTGGCTCTTCTCCCTGGAGGCCCAGTGAGGAATTGAACTCCCAAACTCTGGCTCCCCAAGCCAGATACCTAAACCACTGAGCTATCCAGCCAGCCAGCTGTACCTTGCTCCAACCTTTTTCCTTATCCTCTGCAACACGCCTGATTTCATTCCTTTTAAGTTTCATCACAGACCATTATGGTGGGGAGAGGGAAAACACCAGCCTGCAGGTTTGAAGCCAGAATCTGACTTGTAAGGGAGCTTAACCGCATCTGTTCCCCTCCCTCACGGTGAATCCCCATGAAATTTCATTTATTCTTCTCACAGAGAAGCCAAGAGTAGGGGCAACGCTCTTCCTCCAACCTTGTCTGGCTCGTTAGGATAGTGATACAGGCTTCAAGATCAAAGGCACTTTCCCTCCTGCTGTATAGACTTACATCTGGTGGTTGAATGTAAGCTTAGTTCTCGCCAAAAATGGGAATGAGCTATATTCTTTCACGACAGGCTGAATGTTCTCTGTAACATCCGGGCAATTTGGTGGTTGAATGTAAGCTTAGTTCTCACTGAAAATGGGAATGAGCTACATTCTTTCAGACTTCACGTCAGGCTGAATGTTCTCTGTAACATCCGGGCACACACCATCAGCTAGCAAGTCAAGGAGGCGGGTTCTCCAGCATGCTAGCTCTGTATGGAGGCAGCTGACACAAAATGGTTTGGCCCACCCATGAATTTACCACCCCACTGAAAATGAGGCCTCATTTCCTCTTTAACCCTCTGAGATCTGTCTTAGCAACTTGTTTTGCTAGACTGCAGGAAGATGGGAGCACTAGGGAGAACATTACAGATCAACACTAAACGGGAGAGTCTCTTCCCATATCTTGGGCCCCATAAGACTGGGTTAAAATATAGCGATGGTGTAATCCTACCTTCATGAACAGAGGTTTTGGCTGTATGAACACACCAAGTTTTCTTTGCTATTTCCTATTGTCTGCAAATGAGGGGGGGGGGTAGACAACATTTGGAGCTCACCCACATAACCAGGAGTCCCACAGGCCGTAGACATGACAGTGCCTGAACCCTCTATCTTTGATAGGCCAAAGTCGCTGATCATAATCTTGGAGTCTTCATCCAGACTGTAATACAGCAGATTTTCAGGCTGATGGGTTGAAGGTAAAGAAGAAAGAATGGAAAGAATTTAACACATAAAAATTAAACTACAGTGCGGGTTGAGACTGAATATAGATGAAGAAAGCCTCAAGGCAATAGAGAAAAAGAAAAAATATATAAGAAAAATATTGCAAAAGAAAAAGAAAAATATGCAAAAGAAAAATATAAAAACTATAAAATTGCCCACCCCATTATCCTAAAATCTTACAGAGATATGTTTGGACAAAAAGAGAACATGGAAATTAAAAAACAGTGACATGGAGAGAAAAAACAATAAAGAAATCTGATCAAGTTATTTCTGAAACCTGATTTTTTGAAATGGGGCAGCAAGACCTTGTCTTGGCATAACAAAGTAAACACCATTTTGGAAAGAAACACTCCATAATACATTTCTGAGGTAGCAGAGCTTAGAACACTACTTTTAAAGGCAGTTTTACTTGTTTCAGTTTTCAAAAAGTAACTCATTACTGTTGTTTATAACATTTTTAAAAAGCATATTAGCTTTAAACAATACAGTTTCTTTTTCATTTCTATAGTATAAGAAACATTAATTTTTAAAAAACAGCCAGAACAGTAAGCCAATACTACTCAAATCTAAGAATAGTGTGTTACTTCTTTTGTAACAAACTTTAGTTTGTTTTCAAAATCTACAACAGAAAGAAAATCGCCTGAAATATGGTGTGAAAAAAATCATAGAATCACAGAATAGTGAAGTTGGAAGCAGCCTATAAGGTCATCAAGTCCAACCCCCTGCTCAGTGCAGGAATACAAATCAAAGGAGATCTGCCAGGTGGTTGTCTAAGTTTGTCTTCAGTGCCTCCAGTGTTGGAGCACTCACACCACCTCTCGAGGTAACTGGTTCCACTGCCATACTGCTCTGACGGTTAGGAAGTTTTTCTTGAGATTCAACTTCAATCTGGCTTCCTGTGACTTGAGCCCATTGTTGTGTGTCCTGCACTCTGAGATGATCGAGAACAGATCCTGCCCGTCCTCTGTATGACAGCCTTTTAAGTATTTGAAAAGTGTTATCACATCACCCCTCTGTTGTTCTCAAGGCTAAACATGTCCAGTTCTTTCAGTATTTCCTCACAAGGCTTGGTTTCCAGCCCCCTGATCATCTTTGCTGCCCTCCTCTGAACTTGATCCAATTTGTCAGCATCCTTCTTGAAGTGTGGTGTCTATATCCAGACTATATCTGGCTCTACAATTCTCTGATTACATAATTCTAAGTTTGGAGGATAGAAGACTGCAGGTCTCCAAGCCCATGTGAGTCACAATTTCTGAAATCTTACTGCTAATAATGAAAATATGATAATTAGATTCTTCCAAACAACTTCTGGGTTTATGATTGTGAAATAATGTGCTTCTGTATCTGTGATTCTTAAAAAGCAGAGACATCACCTTGCCAACAAAAGTCCGAATAGTCAAAGCTATGGTTTTTCCTATCGTGATGTATGGAAGTGAGAGCTGGCCCATAAAGAAGGCTGACCACTGAAGAATTGATGCTTTTGAATTGTGGTGCTGGAGGAGACTCTTGAGAGTCCCCTGGACTGCAAGGAGAACAAACCTATCCATTGTGAAGGAAATCAACCCTGAGTGCTCACTGGAAGGACAGATCCCGAAGCTGAGGCTCCAGTACTTTGGCCATCTCATGAGAAGAGAAGACTCCCTGGAAAAGACCCTGATGTTGGGAAAGTGTGAAGGCAAGAGGAGAAGGGGACGACAGAGGATGAGATGGCTGGACAGTGTCTGCGAAGCAACCAACATGAATTTGACACAACTCCGGGAGGCAGTAGAAGATAGGAGGGCCTGGCATGCTCTGGTCCATGGGGTCATGAAGAGTCGGACACGACTAAACGAAACGTATCTGTGATTCAAAACTCCAGGAAATAGCCTGACACTGACATCCAAATTTGGCACAGATCAAGAGCAGACTTTTGCTACATCTGTGCAAAATGTGGTCCTAACCCAAAGTTCCATTTTAAAGTTATAATTGTTTAGGCAGCCCCCATTTTTAGATTTGCCTCATAGAATGCTGATTTGCTCTGCTGCACAATAACATCACTACACTCTTGTGCAGTGATCATTACACAGAAAGAACCTCATTATGTGGTTTTGGAGACTTGGTCAAGCAGCAAAGGAAAATATCAGAACGTGATGTTCTTCCCACTTTACTGCCAGAAAGCTCTGCCACTGAAGAGGATCCATTAAGGAGACATCATTTCCATAAGGAAGAACTGCAACAGTCTAAGCAATCAAATAATATTAAATGGCTCCTGACTAAATGTTGAATGCTCTGACGTGATGTTACAGCACTGAAGAAAGCTTTGAAGAAATCCTGAGTCAGATTTCAGAACTGCAAACAAGCAGCCAAGTAACTGGACATGGATTTTTAAGCATTTGACGGTGGAATCTTTAAATGGATCCGTTCAGAAGTAAACCAGACAGGATTCAGGGAGGATTACCAGTGTGGTGTACTGGACAGAGTGACAGGACTCTAGAGAACAGGGTTCAATGCCTGCTCAGCCATAAAAAGTGATTGGGGGAGTGGAACTGGTAAAACCACTCCTTAAGTATCTCATTTGAAAGCTCTATTAAAGTCGCTTATACATTGATTCTGACTTGACGTTACAAAACACACACATATACACCCTAAGTAAAAGCTACAGAAATGTAGTATTTTTTTTCCCTTTTAACATACTATGCTGCTTCATGTATTGTTAGTTCCCTTCTTGGCGATAAGCCCACCAACTACTCTTGAACAGCTAATATTGATCCCTTAGTTATAAAATGGAAATAGTGTAAATTACTTCTAAGGAATCTATGGACAAATTAACACTGTAAATCGATTGTGCATTGAAAGTGCAATATAAATTAAAAATAATGAAACCAATAGCAACTATTTCTGACAACACACACACGATCCATACTTTCTCCTATCCTTTAACACAACAGTTCATAAGCTTCACTGTATAGCCAGAGATCTTTGAAAGAGAATCATACAGAAAAAAAAATGCTCAGGTTAATCTAGAGATTCACCTGTGTGATCAATTATACTGAATGCAATAAAGAGGAAACACTGAACAAACAGAAGAGCTCAAAAAGTGTGCTGAAATAAATATATTGAAAGTCCAAAGTATTTCCTTCTTCAGCAGCATCTCTTGTGCTGTCTCCAGGAAAGGCTTAGATTGAAGTCAGTGACTGCTAAACTGGGCCTCAATTATTTTTTCTCAGTGCACCTTTGAATCTTCCTCTTCTTTATCCTCTTGCTTTGATGCTTTCCCTTCTTTTTCTTGCCTTCTCAGTCCACCATCTGTGTGCCATGAAACTTAAATTCTAGGCCAATGAAAGATACCCATAAATTTGACAATGCTCTCAAAAACTGCTTGCTGTCCTCTGAAGATGCCGGCCACAGAGACTGGCGAAACGTCAGGAAGAACATCCTTCAGAACACGGCCAAAGAGCCCGAAAAACCCAGAACAACCACATTCAAAAACTGCTGTCACAAATTCTGGCACAAATCAGGGCAGCCTCTGATCTCTGATCAGCAGCTGTAGTGAAAAGTGACGACAAGACAAAGCTCATGTTACTGTTTACCAGCTTGGCAGTTGCTCTGAATCAGAGCAGAGGGAGCAAAAAAATGGAGCTAAGAAAAGTTAATGTAACATCCAACCGGCATAATTCCCAACCAACAAGACTATGCTGAATGAGAGATCCTGAAGGCTGTAGTCCCGTCCCGTCCCGTCCCGTCCATCCGTCCATCCATAAGGTCTTCTCTGAACAAGTCTCAGGACATATGCTGTTTTCAAAGTATCAATGGTAACTGATATATTGGGGGCGAATGGGATTTTCCTCCTGCTAGAAAGGGCTGAATTTGAAAAAAAAAGGGGGGGGGGATAAAGATACAATTTACCTAAAGGGAAGAGTTATACTAAAACACCATTTTCTTCTTAAAGCAACTTAGCACCCCTTTCACACTCAGAATCCAAGGCCCAGAATCCCATACTTTGTTAAGTTATTGCAGGAAAACACACTTATCTTTCTTTCTGAGATGCACAGAGGGAACAACAAGGATGTCGACTATGTGCTTTTGGTATGGAAATTGTGGCTCAGACTGGCTGACACCTAAAGGCATAGGAACACTGACCTCCTTAGTTAAAAGATCAGCAGCCAGGAAGCAGGATGGACTTCATTTAAAGCAAAATGATTTAAATCACGATTTATTTATTCTTTCAAATCAGATTTTTTTTTGACAATTTAAATTAAAAGACTGATTTTTAAAATTTTAATCGTGATTTAAATCAATTTGCTTTTTAAAAAATAATCAATTCCTACCTACCCTGCAGAAGACAGTTTCTTCACCACAGATACATATGCCCCTTTAGAAAGAATTTCCAAGATAGAGGACTCCAACCACCCTCCACCCGATTATATTGCCTGAGAAAAAAGGCAAGAAGGCATCCTCTTCTTTGACTTGGAAAAATCCAGCGCGGGCGACAGCAGATCAGAGCACAGAAAAGTTGCTTTTCGGACTACAACTCCCAGAAACTCTGTGTCAACATGGTCGCTGACAATCCTGGCTGAGAGATTCTGGCTGACCGAGCAGATCCGGAAATCACCAACTTGGTAGAACATGGCAACATAAGAAGTAAAATCAGTGGTGTTATTAGTGGGGCTCGTCAGAAGAGCTAAATTACACCTTGTTATCTGAACATCTTTTGTAACTTCCACAAAACATATCAGGGAATCTTGCTAGCATAATTTGTTGTTTTCTGGAAGAGGGGCCACCCTGGCATATATACAACCTGACTTCAGAGACGTTGGCCTCTGCCAGCCTAAGGCAAAGACACTGGATGAAAAGGCCAGGTTCCCCACTTTTTCTGCCTGCCACAAATCTCTCTGGCCTCATTTCCCCCAGAAAGGGCTTTGAGCTCTTTTTTTCTACACAATGGAGTAAAGGAGCTGAGGTGAGGAAGGGAGAATGCTCTG